TACACTTACTACATGGAAGAGGTTCCATTTATTTCTGTGGGCGCAGAATCAGGCCCCGAGAAAGCCATTTTTATCCTGGCCATACAGTGAAAGCTGTCCCACTGCTATCCCAATACAGAGCCCTACTTCTGCGCATTAACCATCTCCACGCTTTGTGACCAATGGGAGGTTGTACCTTGTAAACAAGATTATCTCTAGCCACCAAGAATGTCGGCCTTGTTTGTTCTCTCAAGCAACTGGTACAGCCAGCTCCACAGCAGCCCGAGAGATGACACAGCAGAAGGTGATCTAAATTTAAACTGTCTATACCTCCCACTTTGAAAGTTCAGCGCCCTCTTTCTCTGTGTGTTTGTTTCTTCTTAAATTAACAGCTGCTCTCATCTGTCATACGCCAAAGGAGGGGATGACTTACTACTCCCATGTGCACAGGCAGCAACTAAGAAGGCAAACTTAGCTTTAATTTGTAGCAGACTAGAGGCCAAGAAGATCAAATAAAAGGAATTTGGGAAGGATGAGAGTTAAGAGTTCTTTCTATACAGAAGCCTATTAAATCCCTTACTGGGAATTACTGGTTTTTAAAGCATTTCAGCGCTTGAAGAAAACTACAGTTCTTACAAATTCTGATTTTCAATTGCATCACATTTTTAAAAAGCCTTAACCAACAGCCAGCCCATTCAGAAACAAGTTTGGTGAGAACTAGCCAGAGACATTTATCCCCTTTTCAAAGATTCCTGAGCCACCGTTACCACATTCTCTTAGAAGTTCATGAACCATTTCCCAAATGAACAGATAGCTCTGGGGGCTCTCTGAACCCAAAACAGATTGGGGAACCTAGTAAGTGTCCTTAATACTTGGACGCAATAGAAAGCATTCTCCAAACCCTAACGAATCCTCTCCACACACATTTCAATGTTAAGTAATCCCACCTTCATTTCATCAACATGGAAACCCAAGCACAGAAGTTAGTACAGGTTGAACTGCTCTGGTCCGACAACATCCGTAGCCCAGCATGACTTTAGTTAGCAGATGTCCACTTATCATGGGTGTGACCAAGTTTCCTGCAGTCTCAAAGTTTGTCGACAGCCACCAGCCCTGGCTCTCAGTGTTCTGTGCTGTTTTTTAGCTCTAATTTACCCCCAACTGTCTTCCAAGAGCCCAGTAGGCAGTGGACATGTTGGTAATGCTGCTGGACAATATTGACTTCCTGTGGCTATAAACCAGGGGTGGGCAATAATTTTTGGCCAGGGCCACTTCAAAAATGTTTGAAGTGCCCCCAGGTTGCCCAGAAGGGGCAGAGCCTAAACCAGAAGGGGAGGGGCCAGGATGCTTCTGGGCTGGGGGGGGGGGCACCCAAAGCCTCCTCCCGCCCTACAAGGAGCACACGACACTTCAAAGTGCCAATCAGGGCATGGGGGTGGGGGAGCTGCATGAAGCTTTCTTCACTCTGCCCCCACCCTGTGCAAGGGTACGGCACTTTGAAGTGCCATGCACTCCTCGCAGGGCTGGTGGGGAGAGGGCAGAGGAAACTTTGAAGTGCAAAGCTGGGGGCGGGGGAGCGGCAGGGCCTCCGTGGGCCAGATCAGCCCGCTTGGTGGGCCGGATCCGGCCCGTGGAGGCCCTTTTGCCCACCCCTGCTATAAACTCACGCGTGACACATTCAAACCACCAGAGTTGCTTTGCCAAGCAAGTGGATAACACCAGTGATACACAGGAGCTGGTTGAGGAGGGAGAAAAAAATGTTCTCCTTAACCTCTAAGGCTAGGAAGCAGCAATGGGCTTAAACTGCAGCAAGGGAGGTTTAGGCTGGACATTAGGGAAATCTTCCTTCAGGGTGGTTAGCCATGGGAATACGTCTGCCTAGGGAGGCTGTGGAGTCTCCATCTGTAACACGACAGGCCTCACCGCCATGGGCGCCACCTACTGGTCACTCAGAGAGTTAGCTCTTTGGTGCTGGAGCACCCCCTTCTGGCTGGGGTCACAGCTGTTGTTACCTATTCTTCTCTACTTCTGTGTTAGGACCCACGTCCCTCCCAGACCACGGTGCACTCCCTCTAGGTACTGCCCTGTCACAGGGCCTAGGGAGGCTGTGGAGTCTCCATCTGTAACACGACAGGCCTCACCGCCATGGGCGCCACCTACTGGTCACTCAGAGAGTTAGCTCTTTGGTGCTGGAGCACCCCCTTCTGGCTGGGGTCACAGCTGTTGTTACCTATTCTTCTCTACTTCTGTGTTAGGACCCACGTCCCTCCCAGACCACGGTGCACTCCCTCTAGGTACTGCCCTGTCACAGGGCCTCCACACTCTGGGGTCCTCCCCCTCTGGGAATCCCCAGTCCCCTATACCCACCTTGCCTCAGTGACCCACTGCCAGTCGTCATCTAGCCCCTACCTCAGGGGAAAACTGCAGTCTGACATGGCCACTCAGCATTGGCAAGGGGGTGTGGACCTGCTGCCTTGGCCTACCCTGGCTGCCTTCCTGCAGCTCTAGTAGCCTCAGACCTTGCTTCAGGACCTGCAGCCTGGGCGCTTGCCTGGCCGGAGCTTCCCCAGTTCTGCCTGCCTTTCCCCAGCCCCGCCCTAAGTCAGGCAGCCCCCAGCTTCCCTGGCAGCCAGGTCCCTCCTGCTCCACAGCAAGAGTGAGCCTGCCTCCTCCCCTCCAGGAGCCTTTATTTATACTGCCCTCCACTGGGCCCTAACAGGCTGCTAGCAGCTGCAGCTCCCCCACCGTTCCAGGGCTGGGTTTTTACCCTGAAAGAGCCAGTGCAGGGCAGACGCCCTGTCACGCCACCATTGGAGATTTTTAACAACAGGCTAGACAAATACCTGCCGGGGTGGACAAAAGAGCTCTCGCGGGCAACATCCAGCCCATGGAGAGCCTGCCACTCCCCCACCTCTAGGCCAATCAGTGCCTGGGGGCAGGAGAGAGCACGCAAAGTCTCCTCCCAGCCTGCCCCTGCCCTGCAAGGAGTGGGTGGTACTTAGAAGCCCCCCCCCGCCGCAGGGGCGCGGGCGCCTAGAGGGACAAAGAGGGTCTTTTTGGGAGGGCGGGGACAACGACTTCATGCACCCCCCAACCCCCCAGACCAATCAGGGTCTGTAGAGGGAAGCACAGAAGTGTCCTGGCCCCGCCTCTTGTGCCTGAAGCCCCACCCCTTCCAGGGCAGCCCAAGGCCACTTCAAAAATTTCTGAATTGGCTCCTGGTCCAAAATGATTGCTCACCCCTGGCCTAGATAATACTCGGACCTGCCATGAGTGCAGGGGACTGACCCTATGAGGTCCCTTCCAGTCCTATGATTCTTAGCAGAGCCATAGAATGGCTGTCTGTCCATAGGACGGTTCAGGGCAGGTACCCCAAACCCCATGCCTTGGCTGCCTCAATCATCCGATGGACCGGACCCATGGCAGAAGGGGTCGGGGCCCCCACACTCACCACGGCAGAGGGAACCCATCTCTCGGCCCACTGTTCTCTGCTTCACTGGAGGATGGAGTGGGGGTGGCGCAGGGGTGGGAAGAGGCAGGGCAGAGCCTCGGGGGGGGAGGAGTACCCTGGGCCCTATGAACCCCTAAGGATGGCCTTGATTCTGTGTTCCTGTTTTGGTCACGGGTCGATATGGGTTCTTTTGCCAACATGTGAAGCATCTGGTCCTGACCATTGCAGGAGACAGGACTCCGGACTATGTGGACTTCCAGCCTGATCCAGTCTGGCAATTCTTATGTTCCAGTTTCAAAAGTTGGCATCCTCTAACAAACTGGCAGCTTCAGCCAATTTTCCCTGCCTTTAGCAAACAAGAGTCTCCAGCACACATTCAAAAGGCAAGAGCTCAGCAGTAAACACAGTGACTCACGATCCAGGGACCAGATACACAATAGTAGCAAAGGAAGTAACCGATCTTAAAAGGAATGGCTTCTCAGCTCACTTCGCACCACTCCCTCAGCAGAAATCTCCATGCGCTATCACTGGACTGGAGAGGTCTCCAGAGTCCTGCGCAGATATACATTTTATCTACATCTGTATCTGCAAACAATGACCTGAGGACAGGGCCGTCTCAAGGGGGGGCAGGGCCTGGGGCAATCCCCCACCCCCTCCCCAGCACAGAGCCTGGGGCAAACTCCCCCCGCCCCCGCAGGCTCCTTCTCACCTACCACTTCCTCAAACCCTGCCCCTGCTCTGCCCAGCCTCCTTGCCCCTCCCCTGAGCAACATGGCCCAGGGGTTATGGGGGCCTGTTGTGGTGGCTGTCCCCCCTGTACTCACCATGCAGGTGGTGGGAGTGCCAGAGAAGCTGATGCTGAAGCCTGTGCCAGGGTGGTACCTGGGGGCCATGGTACTGAGAGCGACAGCCAGCGCTCAGGGTCCTGGCACTGGGCTGATTGCAATCAATGGGACAGCTGTCCAATTCAATGCCCTTTTCCTTCCCTGGCTTTTTTGCACCCACAGACGGGGGGTGGGTTGCATCTGCTTGAAGGGGCACATGTGGATGGCTCCTCCAGGCTGGAGACAGGCACGCTGATCAGCCAGCCACGTGGAGCTGCAGCAGCATGTCCCTCAATTTGCGAGTACTTGACAAGCACTCAGAGTGAAAATCATATTGTCCTCTCAGGGACGTGGCTCCCCCCTAGACAGACCAGGCATTGCCCCTACTGAGGGCTGAGTCCACAGCAAGTCAGGCAAGGCTTACATCCTAAAGGTTCAGAGTCTGCCGCAGCAGTACACACCTTGTTCCACTGTGCAGGGGCGCGTAAGGGAAGAGGTGGCTGTTTTGTTCCAGTTTTAGGAAATGTCCCAAGCAGACAATCCAAGGGAAGGGGGGTGAAGGAATATTTGTTCCCCTAATTACATCTAGAAGAGGTGTCTGTCATGACTATGAGGGACAGGCAGTAGCCTGGGGACTAGGAGGTTAACTTTACCTAGCCAGGTATCTGCTCAGCCAATAGAAATGCAGAGAGGGATTTCAAACTGGGACAAAGGAATTTTGGGGTTTTTCCCTCCTTTGTCTCTGGGCAGTTTCTCTCCAGCTACTGAGGGGGACAGACACTATGTCTCCCTCCAAGAAAAGATTCATCACTATCTGTGAGTAAGGTAAAGTTTAGATAAATCGGTTAGGTTTATTGTTTTATGGTTTGGGAATGGGAATCTGATGTCTGTGCATTTAAAAATGGGTTTTCCTCTCCTTTGTAACTAAGCTCTTGGCCCATGGGGGCGGGGGTCCCCCCATGAGTGTATTAATTGGTGACTTTTCCATCTAGTCATTAGGCTTGTAACAGGAGTATGGTGCTGATAATAAAAGTTCTCTCTCTTTCACTTTTATTAACCTGGTTTTGGTTAAGTTTTTTGTGTCCTGGTTTTACTTTAGGGCTGAGATTTCCCAAGTGATCTCTTCCCTGGTTTCTTATCACTTGGGTGGTGGCAGTGGATTTTTATCCCAAAATCTAGGTTTTAAGATTTTGGGGGGAAGTTTTATACCAAAGCCTGGAAAGTTAAGGTTTTGGGGTACTTTTATGGGCCCCCACTTCTGCATTTATCATGCCAGACTGGGGAATAAGCCTTGACAGCATCTGAAACAGGTCGACAGCGAGATACTTGCAAGATGAAGGGGCAATTAATGGGAAAAAAGGGAGGGTTAAAACCAGTCTTTTCTGCGCTGGCACAGAAGGATGGAGTGGCCCCCTTGGCCGCGATGGACACTGCAGCTCACAAAGATGCCATCTCAGAGGCACTGACATGCCACCCTGGGAGCCACGCTGACCCACACTGCTGGAGAACACAGGAGTCCAGGTAACGGAGTGCCAATGATTTCATATGACACAAGAGTATTTTCTATTTTCCTCTCCATCGCACTTGTCATGCACCCTGACATTGTGTTCATCTGACCTCAGAGATCCTCACTGAACTGTCCACAGTAGGGATGTAAGCGACTAATCGACTAGTTGTTTCCCCCTCTATCAGAAAGAGGCAGCAAGGGGGAGAAGAGATGAGGGTGCTGGGGGGAGCTGGCTTAAAAGCTGGTTCCCCCCAGCTCTGGATCCGTGGGAGGAGGCAGGGCGCAGCAGCGGAGTTCCACCTTTGAAATGTACAAGAGTCCCCATTGGGGCTCTTGTAAATTTTAAAGCAGAATCACTGCATGGAGCCTGGGGCCAGAGAGTCCCCCTCCTGCCCCCAGAATCCACATGAAGTTTCAATCTTTGAAATGCACAAGAGCCCCCGCTGGAGCTCTTGTAGATTTCAAAGAGGAAGCGCGGCATGGAGCATGGGGCCAGTGCCCATTGGCCCTGGGCTCCACATGGCTTTCAGTTTATGAAACGTACAAGAGTACCCGCTTGGGCTCTTGTACATTTCAAAGGCAGAACACCGTGCAACAGCCGGGCGGGTTTTTGCCACATTTCAAAGCGGAAGCACCTCCATCAACTATTCGATTAATCTAATTTTAACATCGCTATTCCACAGTGATGGTCCGGAGCAGACCCAATTAATTTAGATTCCCATAAAGTACTTTAATTCCTTCCAGTGTCCGTTACTTTACATTTATCAACACTGAATTGCATGTGCCATTGTATTGCTCGCTCGCTTAGCTGAGGTCCCTCTGAAGTGCCTCCGTCTCCTCTAGGCTGGACAATTTGATACGCTATCTGCACATTTAGCAAAGCAGCAGGAAATCCAGAAAAGAATGGTTAAGGTTTGTTCTTACCATTCACTTTTACAAGAAAGAGGGAGGCTCTCCTTCCTTTTGTACTGGCCAGGAGAC